AGTAATCTTATGAGTGGGAAGTATCGCCTGCTTATCCGCCACACCACTTTTTCTACTAGTAGATTAAATAGTTTTTTAAGTAACGGTAGCCTTACAGGGATCCCTCAGAGTTTTTATTTTGATTTTAGTCAGTTGCTATGTTTTTTCTCAAGTAAACACTGCAAAGTGAAAATTTCAAAGGCAAGCTTATATTTGGTGTTACTTGTCTGTTTGATTTACCCTGTCATTTTTGTAAGGCAGTATTTTTTTTTCTGCAGCCGAATGGTTGTGAAACTCAGTTCTAGCCTGGTACCAGATTCACTGTAAAAAGGGAGATTGGTCGATTTCGTTGTTCTTCAACACCGCGTTTTGAGCTAATATTTGGCTCTTTTTACAAAAGGGGTTGCCCTGACTGTTGCACGTTTTTTCGCTTCTTATTACAGCTCGTCGTATCTTTGTTACATTTTTCTTCAGAACAGTGCTCAATGCTTTCATATTAATTAAAGGTTTTCTTTGAGAACGGTCTGGTTCATTGGTTTTGGGTTTAGCTTGTTTGTATGAATGATGTTGCCCGCTCTATTTGACCAAACCAATTGAGACAACGAATAATTTTTCCGAGTCCTATTTAAGAAAAATATCATCTCAAAAACTTTTCGAACCCAATCAATGAATCGATTTTAGTTTGTCTGCTTATTCCGTAATTTACGATTGTTCTGCTTGTGAAGTCGGTATTTTATCCCTGTATGATTGATTTTGTCCGCTTTACATGACTAAACTAATTCCCACGCCTTCCCCCGGCCACTTGGCGAAGTCATTAATGCGTAGCCGCAGCAGGTTTGACCTAATTGGAGTTCATATCTAGCTACATTAAATCACAGCTGATCTGATAGTTAGTTATTGCGGGATCTTGAGAAAACGTGCCGGGAGGTCGGGATATATAAGTTTTTTTTATCCTGCGCTTATTAACAGCACATCTTGAAGAGTTAGCTGGAGTACAGCCGCCTTCAGCACTTAACGTTGATCCAGGCTAGAAAAAGCTGGAGGTGACTTCAGACTTAGTTGCATCGATGTCCACATGGTTGTTGGTTCTAAAACAAGGGCGTGCTAATCTGTTACACTTTTGACAATCTAGCCTTGAACTGAGTTGCGTTTATCTTTGTTGTCACTGCTTTTGTGCAGCTCACAGAGATAGTATAACTTACAATAGATTGAATGGACCGCCAACCCAGAGGGTCCCGCAGCATCCCGAAAAGAGCTTGAGTGATGTACGTTCTTTAGATAAACAGCTTTGGTTGAGGAATCTTCATAGGCATCCCTTGGTTTTCCTTAGCAGCTTTTCTCGTTTTCATTTTAAGGATCGTTCGCCTATGTATCAGCGATGATCACCGAACCATCATCATATAGAAGCTCCCATAGCAATATCATAGCATAGACTTTTTTTTAGTTCTTGCCTGTTTTGCGTTTTTTAAGCAAGGCTGAGTTTTACACGATTTGAAGTCCTAAATCAGCGGAGTTCCCTTGTTGATACGCGGCAATTGCAAAAGTTACATCAAATTAATGACTGAAGAAAGCAAATTTGGCTTTTGGCTTGCTCCGAGTGGCAAAATTGAACATAGAATGAAAATGAAAATGTCGAGGATAGTGAAACAACCGAATTCAAAATTACCGTCGAATTCCAAATTACAAGTACCACAATTGTATGCCCTAAGTACATTTTTTGAAAAAGCTTCGGACATAACCGTCCTAATTAACGAAACGAAGCCATTTTTTGAACCAAAGCGATCCGATGTCTCATACTCTCCAAATCACGAGTAACAGCTCCTCATGAAGCAGTTTTACGTGACAGCTCTTCATAAAGTAGTAACAAGTCTTTGACAATCACAGAACCTTTAAATCGATATAGAAAAAAACATGGTTGGATGGTCTCACGATTTAGAGGAGATGGCGCTTAATACTTAAATACTCGGAACTTTTTTAACATCATGGGGTGTATTAGATCCTTCCATATGACTAAACATCACATCATATTGCCATTTGAAAGTGAAATCAGAAAATTCTCGATTTAATCAACGAGCTAGTCGACCTGAAATCAAACAGTCAGCATTGCAAAACACCTATTGAGTTTAAGAGTTGCTGGTTTCCAATACCTAATTTATGTCGAATTTCGGACTTTCATTCCTTCCTAGTATTTTATGCGGAATCTGGTAAATAGGGATCAGATCCTTTTTTCAAGGCCATGAGAAAATGTAACTAAAAAGGTCTTAAAGATATAACGAGCTTTCTTAACAATTTTGATTGGATGTTTTCCATATTGGCCCTAGCCGGGAAGGTCTCAAGCAATCGAGTACTCGGATATCTTCGCCGAACATATTTACAGTAACTTGAATATATATGTTTAAATCTTAGCTTGTTTCAACTATTTTTAGGGCGTCATCTTGTCTGTTGCTGATTTGGGACATTTGATAGCCGAAAGCGAGTGTTAATTGAGCTTCCGTTTTTACTGGAAAAACAGATTTTTCTTTGCTGATAATGTTTTCAACCAATCAGAATCGAGCGGCATGATCAAACTTTCAAAGAAAACTAAAAGATCAGCTGTAGGGCCGTATAAAAGAAAAAAACCCGTTGGTATATTTTATCCACACAAAATGGTTAAAATAGGAACCTTTAAACACACGTTTATAGGTAAAATTTCAGGTGCTACTTCGACAATTTTTAGAATTGGCTGTGTTTATTAGAAAATTACGCGAAAACTAGCGATTCAACTGCTTAAAAAAACTGCTTATTAGAGTAATGAACGTACACAAGTCTCTTATATATTTTTTGCTGCTTTCTGATTTTTTTCAGGAAGAAGTCTGTTCACGCTCATTATGTTTTCTTTTTAAGTTTTGTTTAATTTCCTTTGATCTTCAAAAGGAAGGCAAACTCCTGTATCGAACAGCAGAAGTGTAAAGGTCGCAAAAAATATGATTGACTTCAAGTTAACTTTTCAGATTTTCCAGCGGAATAAAAGTTATACCTATTGATCCAATTTTCTTAAATTGAGTTGGTTTTTAAGAGTAATGAACGTAGTGAGTACTCTTATATAGGTCTCGCTGATTTTTTGTTTTTTTTAAGAAAAAGTCTTAAAATTTGGTCACGCTCAATTTTGATTTTCCGCGGTTTGACTTGTGATTTCTTTTTAAGTTCAGTGCATTTCCTTTGTTGAAAGGAGGGCAAACTCCACTATCGAAGAGCAAAAGTGTAAAGGTCACGAAAAGCGTGATCAACTTCTAATTTCGAAAATTGAAATATATACCAGATTTCCCAGCGAAATAAAAGTTTTACCTATTGATTCAGTTGGGTCTCAAATCGGGTTAATTTTAAGAAAAAATTGTCCATCATAGATTGTTTTACAAATAAGCTTCTTCGAAATTCAAAAGTTGAAGATTTTTGTAAAAACCTGTTGGTTTTTTTCCAGTTTCCTTGCATTCATTACTCTTTTCCAACTGTCAGTTGGCTATGTTATTTTAAAAAATGTCAATGATAAATTGTTCTTGAAATTCAAAGAGCTTTAAGGCCACATAATTTTTTTTTCTAAAATTCTAAAAACAAAATTCCAACAACTCAACTTTTTTTCTGTTTTTTTTTTGCGTTCATTACTCTTTTACCACTGTCAGTTGGTTATGGTATAAATTTATTTTCGATTGGTGGCCAAAAATGGTCATTTTACTATATAAGGTAGCAATTTTTTTCGAACAATGTTTAAGCTTTTTGCTGAATGTTTTGGAGATGATACTCAGCTTACTCTTTATACAAAAGAGGCTCGTTTTGACTCCTTGCTTTCTGTGTAGTTTGGGATTAACCAAATTCAGCCAAATTTTACCCGTTTCGTGGTTAACTTTAGACCGTATTTCCGCAAATGGTGAATCGTCCACACTGATTTTTTTTCATGACTAATTAGAATTTTATAACTAATTTAATAACAGAAACCTTAGAAAATTAAAGGAAATACTTGAAATGGAGAAGTGTGTTTTCATAGTTTTGGTTTATAAACTCCGGTGCTAGAGATTTTAGCAGACCAATTTTTTTTTAGCAGACTCACAACAATTGGCAAGTCAGAAAGCTAACTTCAAATGGGAAGTTGGCGATTAGCGACCGCTTGCTCCACTGCGTTTCTATTCGGCACAAATGTTATTGTGCGTGTAAATCTTGGTTTTGCCGCTCATTTAGACTGTTGCGTTTTTGAAGTTGATAGTTTTGCTGACAAATCGTGAGATAGTTGGATAGTTGTCTTAATTGGGGAAGCTTGACCCAATACTGAGCGTCTTTTTGAGTCTTTCAATCAATCATGCATCACTTTATTACGTCGGTCTGCTTAAAGACTCATTTTTCACTTTTTATGCTAAAAGATGGTCTGCTAAACGATCGGTCCCCATAGACTCCGGATTGAATTATCGACAGCTTAAATCTCATCGGTTTCTCGCTCTGTGGTTAAACTTTTGGCCGATATTAGAAGGCAGAATCTATTTGACAAATAAAAAACCTTTTCGGCGTATTTTTTAAAGATACAAACAGCTGCGAATTGTAGCTGTTTATATCTTTGGCAAACGGCTGTAAAACAGTATTTTGAAGAAACGGTAAATATGTCGTATTATGCCGTATTTTTTTTAAATGTAGATGAATTGCACTAAAATAGTTGCAATAAACTTGCATAGACAGCAGCAGATTATTCATTTGGTTTCTAGGAAGTTTTAATTGAACATTTTTGATGCTAAAAATTGATTCGGCAACAGCAACATAAAATCAATTTTAAACGAGACATCTGAGCTTAAGGGATTTGAGTACATTTGAAATGCGGGATCAATATTGAATGCAAAATCTGAATCATAATTCAAAAAATTACTTCGGAAATAATAGATTGCGAACTTATGATTGTTCCGGACGATAGTTGATTTTGGCGGTTGCAGGTTTCTTTTGACCATCGCACGCCTGCCAGTCGTTATGTTCACGTTTTGTCTTGCATAGCATTTTTTTGTTTTCAGAGCACACCATGAAAGAGATGCAGGATCTACATCGTTCCAGTTTTCACGCAGCATTGACATCTTGGCAGTCAAACATGGTCTATTTTTTATGGTAAGCTATGTGAAAGTGCTATTATTAGGAGCTGGACAATTTTGGTAACGAATATGTTCAATTTTTTTAATTAAGGTTTTGTTTGAGCAAAGAATGAGCTCCTAGCATTTAATCAACCGTAAAAGAATGCAGTGATTTTCACTTATATAGGTCGGTGATGATTTTCCGGCAAGAGTAGTATTAAAACTTGTTCACGCTCAAATATGAGTTTTTGCAGTTTGAATTTTGATTTATTTGTAAGTTCAGTTCATTTTCTCTGTTGAAGGAAGGCAAACTCTCCTTTCGAAAAGCAAAAGTGTAAAGGTCACAAAAATTGAGTGACTTTTAGCTTCAAAAACTGACTTAAAAAAATTGAATTCAAAGAGCTTTGACGTGCTATATTTTTTATTTACTTTTGCGAGAGCAAGCCTGTTGTAATCTGGAACAAGACTTTTTTCCCGTTAACAACTTATTCCCGTTACAAACTTGTAAGAAATGGATGCTGCTGTATTATTGAACCTTAGGAACTTCCAGATCGTTTCCCTCTTGCTCTGGAGGAAATGCGCAGCTTTTGCACCCTATAATCTTGGGTTTGAGTGTTTTTTTTTTACTTTCTGAAATAATTTTTTTTTCGCGAAAAAATTGATTGGTCGTTCTATTGTTTGTCGGCTTATGTTTTATCGGCTTAGTGGCCACACCACGGTATTTTTCAATAGATTTTAGCAGTTTTCATTGTAGTCTCAATTGTCGTTAAATAACTCCTGCAGTTTGTAATTTTAGTAACTCTGACTGGTATTAAAGCTATCATGCTAATGGCTGTGTTTCTCGTCGGTTTTTCTGAAATGAAATTTTTCGTATTTGAATAAATGAAAGAATGTTTTTTTTTCGACTTACTTATTTCCATCTCGCCTTCTATTTGGTAGCGTACAATGCTACGCTTTCGTTGTTTCGCAGGTCATACGATACTCCGTTTTGCCTCTGACAAAATTTAAAACTCTTCAAAATTCTCTTTTATTTTTTTTTCGTTTCCTGGAGTTTTTTACACTTCTCAAACGTGTGCTGGCTATTTTTTCATTTAATAGTTTTTTAAGGTTTAGAAATTGTCATGTGCAGATGGGTAAAATGTAATCTGATGTTCAGATGGGTAAAATGTGGTCTGAAATGCACCCGCGTAAATATAGTTTGAAATTCTGTTGATTAATTGTTGTCTAAAATGCAGTTGAGTAAAAGACAATTGCTCTCACAAAGGTATTTAACCCTTTTGAAACGACACAATTTGAGGCTACCGAAATCTGTAACAGTTAAAGTGAAAAAAGAGGAAAACATTAAGTTCTGAGTTGGTTTATAACTAACATAAACACAAAATTCGAAAAGAAAGTAAATGCAAAATGATCAGAATGGAGTATTTTGAACTCAGTTGTGAGAAAAGATTAAATATCATTGCTACTATGACACGTTTAAACATAGCCAACAGGCAGTTGGAAAAAAGTCATGACTGCATGCAAACAGAAAATAGTACTGACTTTTTTTATGAAAACATCTCAACTTTCGAATTTCAAAGAACAAAATAGATGGCCTTAAAGCTCTTTGCGTTTCTAGAACAATTTTTGTTTGGCATTTTTTCGATAAGTTTATTTCAATTTGAGAAATGGGTCAATAGGAAAAATTTATTTTATGTTGAGAAATCTGATAATTGAATTCGGTTTTCAAAATTTGAAGTCAAGTTATTTCTGAAATTCTGAGCTTCTTTTCTTTTCACTTTTGTCTAATTATGATCTTGACTGAAAGCCTTTGAATTTTGAGTTTTGTTCGTTGTGTCCGGTTAATTTAAATCAGCACTATACAGTGCTGAGTTAAATTTTCCGGACAAAACTCATTGAACTAGAAATTTAAAAGGCATTTTTTTCTCAAATTGGGTTATTTTTAGGCAATAAAAAGTATGAAGACAAAACTTGATTAGAAGTTCAACAGAATTTTTATGGCGCAATTTGTTTTGCTAAATTCGGGACAAAACTGTTACCCTAAAATGGATTTTTTTTTGGTTTTTTAGTCAATCAAAAATTACATTCTAAGAAGGGTATACTCTCCAAAAAATTGAACAAATAGTTTTAAAATAATTTTTAATAAAAACGGTGTTTTATAAAGTATGAGCGATTTTTTTTGTATATCAAACCAAAATTGGTTTATACAATGTTTTGGAGAGTATACTCTTCTTAATTTTTGTTGGGCTACGTAAGCCAGTGATCAACCGGGTAGTTTAAGTGTAATTTTTAATTGACTGAAAGAACCAAAAAATATCAATTTTTTGTTTTAAGAATTTTGGTCCCGAAATTTCGTAAAACAAATTGCACCATAAATATTCTGCTAAAATTCTAAGCAAGTTTTGTCTTGATCGTTTTTTTCCTAAATTCAAACCAATTTGAGAAAAAAATGAGTTTAACTTTTCTAGTTCAATGGGTTCTGTCCGGATAATTTAAATTCCATGGAAATCCATCTGCTGAAAGTAACCTAAATAGTACTCTCCAAAAACGAACGTGGAAATGGCACAAAAAACGTGAATGATTTCTAAATTCGAAAGTGGAATTTATTTTTTAGATTTAGAGTGGAATAAAAACTTTTACCTGTTGACCCAGTTTTCTCAAGTTGTGTTAATGTTATCAAAAAGCGCCAATCAAAAATCGTTCTAGAAATTCAAAGAGCTTAAAGAGCATCTATTTTTTCTTTGAAATTCGAAAGTTTAGATTTTCTTAAACAAAGTCAGTGTTTTGAAAAACGCATACCAAAAAAAACGCATTTTTGCCGGAATTTTCCGGAGCTGATATAGGCTGTTAATAGTTTTCATTATGTTGTCTTTTTAGTTGAGCCCTCATCTGAATTTCCTTGAACTATGATGAAAATCCCAAAAAAAGCGGCCAAACCGCTTCTGGAGGAAATCAGCACTTCGTCTGTACAATACAAAAATGAGATACAGCGCGACATCATTCTCTCGTTTCGAACTGTAAACGCCAGCGAGATATTCTTTAAACATGTTTTTCTAGTAAACAACGAATCACTGTCAGCCAAATTCAACGCTCGACGCCAGAAGATGACTAACAAACAAGAAGATATTGTATATGTGAGAGTAAATACCTTAGAGCGTGCGAAAGAAATCGCAGGAACCGGGGTTCCCGTTTCTTCAGAGCTGTCAAGTGATCCGCCAATGGCACTCGGAAACCCAGCTATGGGCGTATATTGCTCTAAGTACATAGATTACTCGAGCAACCAGCAAATCCTCTCACCTGGCGAAGAGTGTGTTCTGATTATGTGCAAAGCTCTGAAGGGAAAGTCTAAAGCAATTGCCGAAAGTGAAGTGATGATTGATCCAACATTTGACTATGACTCACATGTATCGAAATCAGCTGGGACTTCGGGAGGGTTAGTATCTAGTATCCGCGACTACCACACGTTCTTTCTGGCCAATCAGATTTACGTGTACGAGTACACAGACACGGAAACGGAGCGATATCCGTCAAGTGTCCTGCCGTTCGCGATATTGAATTTCACTCGGGAATTCATCGATTTTTCTTCCGTTTCTACCAGCACCTTCACCCCAATAAAGAGTCTTTCGGTTACTTGTCAAAACCCTTCGCTGAGGCCTCTAAAGCCTTTGATTATATGGAGTGGAAATGTTGTATCTGTTTGTGCTCAAGCCTCCGCATCTTCTGACGAATCAAAGGGAACCCCAACTACTCTGCAATTCAGCGAGGCAGCTGCTTTGGTGTCATTCTTTTCACGTGTCAATCCACTCAAGTTAAGTGATAATCGTTTGGAAATTATCGGATGGTTTGACGTTGAGAATCTACAGCATTATTTTGCTGAGAATCTTTTTCCAAGTCCGCCAGCGGTTAGCGGAATTTCTCAGATTGTTCAAGATGACGCCAATTCTAGTGTATTTTACGCGTATTTCCAAATTCTTAGTAAAACCCAAGTGCAGGAAATAAGTTCGAACGTGGACCACGTTCCGAGCACTTCGTTCAGCGAGTACTTCAAAAATGCACTTCATATCAGCAAAGTTGCTGTATCGAAAATAAAAGAGTCATACCTTTACATATTCTCAGCTGGAGAGCATGCAAACCGAATCGGAATCACGAATAAACTTTACAACCCGCCTGTTCTGCATTGTATATATGTGTCCAGTACGGCTATATATAATCTCACCTCCTACTGCAAGAGCTCGACTTCGGGTAGCAGTGAGTATACGATGAATGTGGGCCCGGATCCCAAGAGACAAAAACTAGAAATGAGAGCATTTAACATGAGCGAACCAAGTACTGAAGTTCAAAATGTGACGACCAAATTGTGCAACTTTGGAATCGCAATAAATCAAGCGGAAAATAACACACTTACTGTGGAAAGTTACTTCCCATGCGATGTTATCTCGAATAAATTTGACTTGAGTTATTACAGTAACGATCCTAATGATATTCCGGTCGAGAGTGTGTCGCACGTCGACCGAACAATTACAAATGCGGCCAAGATGCAAGCCTATCAGGAGAAACAGTTGGAGGAAAGATTACAAGCCCAGAAACAGCGAGAGCTGGACGAGATGCGTGCTCAGTTGGGCTCTATTACCCAAGCACACAGTCAAAGTGTGGAACAGCAGTTGGCAAGCAAGCAACAATCGGTAGTGATTAACACTTTTGCATTGCCACGAGAAGGAGCGCTGGCAAGGTCGTTTAAGAAGAAGAACAATGACCCAGCGTCTATGATCAACAAAGTTAGAAGACCAACCAACCCCCCTGTACGCCGGGAGTCTATTCTGTCTTCCCGGTCTCAGCCTAACGAGCGAAGAAATGCTGCCGAGGAACAGTGGAGACAACAAAGGGCTGAGGAAATGCAACGAGTAAATCAGGCAATGCCCTTGTATGACTCCTCTGCCAATAAGAATGACAAAGACGGCGCCAATAGTTCTAGGTCAGGTTCTAGACATTCCAGTCCGTCACCGCCGCCAATAATGCCTGTATCTAACCCTCTTTATAATAGAAAAGGAGGCGGATTATTGGATATGCCGTTGCCTCCAACACTGCCGCGAGCAACACACAGACCACCGCCACCTCCCAGGGACCCCGAAATGGAAGATATCAGTGACATGGAAATCAGCAACAGCCCGGAAGATAATAACAATCTAGGAGGATCGAATGCCAGGGGTCCCAGATCGAAGTATATGAAATCATCGAATGGTCAACCAGTAGCAGGGGCAAGTGTCAGAGATCGTGATCGCGATGATTCCCCTGAGGCACCTGCTATTTTGATAGACTCGCCGGTAAAACCAAGTGGCGAACTCTTGGGATCCTTGAAAAGACCTCGCAAGTCAGAATCAGATGACGATCATCCAACATTGGACGGGTCTGCGGCACCGGGCACACGAAACAGTGCTAATCGAAATGATCCAATGGCTTCGCGAACTAGTCAATCATCTGTGAAGCAAGAAGTTGCAGACCCTATGGGCTCGAGACGTCATTCTGATATAAATTTAGCTGGAAAAAGTAGCAATCTACCTGAAGCACCGTACGCTAGACCGGAGAGACCACATTTCAAAGTGGAGGATGGAAAATCAGATAGACGAAAGGCGTTTGTTGTCGATGATCGATCGATACCCAAGGAATCAGATTTCAAAATGCGAACAGTCGGACAATTGACGGAGTACTCAGAGGACAAGAATGATTACCGTTCGTCCACATCCAGCAGCAGACCGCCTCCAAATAACGCCAATGCTAACAGAGGGCAAACCATACTCACTAATCAACTTGGCCAAAGAGTTGATATAAACTCTTCGAGTGGCGATGTGAGCAGATATTACAAACCACCTCCAAGTTGGCGTCCGGAAGATCCAGCAGAAATGTGCAAAAATTTGACAGTCTCATTTTTCAAGTCGAAACTGAACAGACTGGGAAGACCTCAGAGGGACTTGAACACTCCTCGATTCAAGGGCTACAGGTTCGAAAGAGATTACAGGCCAGACAACGAGCTGATCTACAGGCTTGACAGAATGATCCACCAATCCGAGGACAGAGCCGAGGCACGCCGTAAAGAAGAGGAAAGATTGAGGGACCGAATCGAACGAGATATGGGCATAGGAAGTAGCGAGACGGCTGAAGTGTCGACTGAAAACGAAATGCGACTGCTGCAAAAACGACTCGGACGCGAGTTGCGAAACGACGAATGGGACGAGCAAGAGAGTCGCTTCTTAAAAGATATGTTGGACATGAATTTAGGAATTTGGCCTCAGTCGGAATCGGGGGGACGCTATTCGGGCGGAGGATACCAGCAGGAAAGGGGGAGAATCAACAACAAAAGAAGTTATGACAGGGAACCGAATCGAAATCGTCAGGATCGGAGATGAAGGAGAGTGGCGGGAAAACTAAACAGAACTCGGTTCATTTTTAGACTGATATTTATAGACCAATATGTTGTTACACTTCTTATGTTACTTAAATTGTGTTCGCTCTTTGTGCATTTTCAGCACTGTTTATTACTAAAATGATCTGAATGAAACTTTGGATATTATTCCGGCCAAGTCAATCAGGTCATTTTGCAATATAATCCGATCTTTGTCAGTTATTTTTTCGGGACTTCAATATCAGTTTACTAAAGATGAAGCTTCTGTTATTTTGAATAATCAAACTGTTGAAATGTTGTTTATTTTTCAATGAAATTCAGATTTGTTAACAGCAGGTTTTTATGATCATGGGCAAATCTATGATTTGTTTTTAGCGTGATGTCACTCAGAGTAATGGGTTTATCACTTTTACCTTATAACGAGTAATGGCATTTTTTGACGAGAACTCTTTAATGGTTTATTCAATTTTTTTAAGATACAGTCCCTCAATTGGTTCAAATGCATTGCTTTTAGGCTGCTGTTTCAAAGAAAATCAAAAGTTTTTGTGATAAAAATAAGATTTTTGTTTACAATTTGCAGAGAGAATTGTAGTTTTATACTGCGTAAATAAAAAGGATTACCTCTTATAATGTGTCTCTTATGGTGTCTAATATTCTGAATAAGATATTCAATATAGTTCGTCATTTTTTTTCGCGATGGACCAACTTAATGTTTCTGTAACTCAAGTAATAAATGTCATTTTTTGCGAAGCAGATTAGTTTTTTGACACTTGATTGGTTTTGACCTACTAATAGCACTGCTATCACTGGTCCGCTCTCCCTTCCCGTGTAATCTTCATTAGAGTCATTAAAGAAACTTCGGAGGGTGTCGGCCAGGAAATGAATGTAAGAAAAACTATAAAATGGTAAAGTTCATGACATTATCGAAATCCCGAAGGTGAACAGCCTGGCTCTGTCCCCAAAATCCAGTACTAAGTAGTAAAACGGTTAACACTGAATCTACAACAAACGTACACAGCAGAGCAGCTTTACTGTTGGCTTATCCACTGCTTGGTTAACTTGCTACGTGTGAAATTCAAGCCTGCAAAGTTATGAAACAAAAAGGCTACACTAAAAAAACTTGTCTAAAAATTTCATTTGCTCCGTTGTTTTTGTATTTGTTGACGTTATTTATACTTCCGAGCTTTAGCGTGCGTAGTGTAATAGTACTACTATTTTTTTTTTCCAACCTAAGTTGCAAATACTGGTCCAATTTTGAGGCATATTCACGGTGTTTTGAAAACATGTGCTTTGACATTCGATTAGTCAAAGGTTAACCCAGTTGATGCAATTTAAATGCACCAAAGGAACCAAAAGAAGCTCTTCGTTCTAAAAAACAGTACAATAATAAAAATTCGATTTCACAAATTGGATTTCAGAAACTTTTCGCTGGGTAATTCCTGAGTACAAATTGAGTTATCAGCCAAGGGTGACCAAAAGGCAATCAAAGTTGATATTTTAATTCAAAAGTCAATACTCTGTTTTGAATTTTATGTATACTTTTGCTTATTAGTTTCATAGGTTTTGTTGATAATTTTACTAAATTCGGTCTAGAAAAAACACTGAATGATCGTTTTTGGCAAAGAAAACATTAAAAAGAAACAGTTTCTTCGTGTTATTTTAAGATCGGTCGATATTGGGTCTATTTTTGCTGAGCAAGGTAGGTCAATACTTGGTCGACGCAGAATGATGTCCCCTAGATCGACCACAACCCAACCTGTAATGAGTTGAACCGAACATTGATTGCCGCATAAATAGTAACCAGCCCTACCACAACCTGCAATAGCTTGTAGAAATCTGTCCACCCCATGAATTGATTAATTTTCGGATTTTCGTTTACTGTTGCGTCGCCTTTTTCCACCTCAATTCTCATATCATTTTCAACTTTTGTCTTGTCTTATTTTCCCAGTGTCTGAACAAACAAACCGAACTTTTTTGACCAAAAACACCAACTTATAAACATGGGTAAAAACTAACCCACAGAAATTATCGAAGGTCGTAGAACGTCCGGTAAAGCGAAAGAAGTCTGCTGGAATATACAGGCACACAGGAGATTAGCTGGTTCATCGATTGTAAGCTCTTTTTTGAAAATCAGTAAAGTACTTAAATTTTTAAAAGTACTAAGTTTTAAATTCACAGTTGATGCATTTTTAATTCATCAAAAGAACGGAAAAACAGCTACTTGTTTCAAACAACAGCAACAAAATTTTTACAACTCTATTTATTCCGCAATTGTATTGAAATGCATCACTTATATTAGTTATTTAAAAAGTTACCTAAAGCCATCGAATTATTTGAAAAAAAGATAATTAAAACTCGCGTTTCCAAACAAATTTGTTGCAGTAAATGCAAAAAAAAAAACATTTTCAACAAATTTTCTGCTGAAAAAGTATAGCGAGTCTTAACAAAACTCGAGTATTTCATTTGTGGTAACAGTTGCCGTGAAATTTTCAATTTGTCAGTTTTGTAATTTTCTGCATCTAACCAACTCCCCACCATGTGATCACTAGCTTTAGTTAAGATGACAATTTTGCCGTATGATTTCCGAAATACTGTCAGTTTTTTGGAAAATTTGAACAAAAATTGTTAAGATAAAGCGCATCTCTGATTAATGTATTTCCTCCATTTCCTCAGAAAAAGTTACTTAACTAGAAAATGGTTATTTAACTGAAATCCGGGGCCTGGTAATGACTCACTTAACAGCTAAAACACTTCAAAGAAATAAATTTCTCCATAAAAATAAGTATCAAAGCAAGTTACAAAAAAGATACAAATAGCTTTCAAATCAATGCCCAAACCGTTTAGATAGACTAAGCAACAGCGCTGTGATAACAAAATTTTCAAGCAAAGTAGAGATAATATGACAGATCTTATCTCAAATTTTTATCACAGAGTCATATATCACTTAGAAAAGGTTTGTCAAGCTCGGCAATGAATGTACTGATAAATTTGATTTATAGATATAAAATACGAGTAGAATTCAAAATAATCTCACGGCAAAAATCATCACGCTGTACTTCAAAATTTCATGAAAAAAATCAAGATTTGAATTTTTTTAATAGAACTAAAAATATTTGAGAAAACTGGACCATTAGATGATATTTATATTCAGCTGGAATTCTGAAATTTAAAAACAGCTGTTGAAATTAAACAGCATATACAAATCGCGCGCCATTTGAGCTTTTGTTATTGGAGAGCGAAATTTTTTCCGTTGCGCAACTGATTTGTTTTGAACCTAGATAGTCAGAATTCAAACCACGAAAAATCAAATTTGATCGTGATCCAAGTTTCAGGCGTCTACATAAACAAAAAGAAAAAATCTACGACATGGCGGTAATTCCTCACAAGCGGCAAGTCGTCACAAGCGACCATTCGTATCAGTAAAGAAACTAAAAATCAAAATCGAACGAGAGGCCCTCAAGTTGCTTGAGAATGTTATGGTTGCTATAAAATTTTAGCAATTCAACTAATATGAACTGGCTTTTTTAAATTTTGCTACAATGACGGCATTTTCTCAAGCAGCTATTCTCTAATTCAAGCAGTACTGCTAATTGTCGCTTACTACGAATTGACGCTTGGCGCGAAATGTCGCATTTCACAATTATTACGAATCGTCGCTTGGGAGTAAACGTTGCTTGCGACTAATTTTTGCCTCACGAAAATCTACACGACCTATTTGTGCCTTCACTACATTCATTGAAAATTTCAAAAACAAGAGCAAATATACAATGAAGTTATGTAATACTTTCTGCAGAAAATAGCACACTATATTTGGCGGACAGGAAAAAAAACAAAATTGGTCGCATCCATAAGAGCCACGACTGATTGAAATGAATGGATTGATTGCACAAATTATAGTAAGCTAAGAGTTTTTCTTTAACAGTTTCTCATCTTTCTCCAAAAAGAAGAAGTTTAGTTCCGTGTAGTCACCGAGACGCTGTCTTCAGTTGCACTAGTCAAGCTTTCATCGCTAGCTGAACTGGATGACTCATCGAACCACTGGTGCTGCAAAGCACGATTCGCATCGAACCGTTTCTCGTAATTTTTCCGCAACAGGTTTGCAACTAAGCTCTGCGCCTCAATTGACACTTTGTGAGAACTATGCGAAAAGGTGACCTTCTGTGTGAGGATCTTGTCAAATAGAGTTTTGCCTTCCCGTTCGCTATCTATGAAGGGATAAGCTTTCACTAGTAGCAGATACATCACAACACCTGCCGACCAGCAGTCAACCTAAACAAAAGTTTCAAAAAGACTGCCTAAAAGACAGTTTCCTAATGCAATGAAGACTGCCTAAATACAATGATGACCGGTTGCTGTGCACAGCAGTCTAAAAATATAGCCAATAGACAGACGGAAAAGTGCCAATGAACGCAAGGATACAGAAAAAAAAATACTGACTTGTTTAAACTTACTTAAAAAATACTTACTTAACCCAATTTGAGAAAACTGGATCTCAATCATTGGAGTGTCAAAGAAAAAATATATACCCTTTAATCTTTTTGAAATTCTAGAACAATTTATGATTGACTTTTTTTGGATAAATTTAACCCAATTTGAGAAAACTGGATCGAAAGGTAATTGTTTTTCGTGACCTTAACATTTTAGCAGTATGATAGTTGAATCAGTCTTCGTTCTAACAAAAGAAACGAGACTGCTCGTATCAGGGCGAAGCCCTGAATGTTCCAATTGCATTTTCAAGTCTATGGAGTACTGTTCGCTTTAGAAATTTTTAACAAAATAGTTTTTTTTTCAGATTTATTAGCGAAACCATCCCCCACACGCTATGTAAAGTACAAAGTGAAACATTTAGCATAGCTAAGTTAAGTTTTAAATAGATCAAATAGCTTGCCTCAATTCAGTTTGGAACGATTTCTAAGACGGATTAAATCTCCGCTAACGCTTTAACAGCACAAAATATATCGCTCGTTAAGCATCCGAAATCTTAAAGCCCTATGACTTAACCAAAAAAATGATAACAGGTGAAACATCTATTTATATTTGAGCTCAAGACGCTTCTATGACATTCTACCCTATTCCAATCTACCCAGTGCTAATCTACCCTATACTATTCTATCCTACATACCAACCTACCCTATACCATTCTACCCTATAATTAAAGCAATTGAAACTTACCCCCATCCTCTTGAAGAATCCGAAACGTATATTTCCGAACAAATCAAAGAACCATTAATTATGATCAAAGAAAAATTGACGCACGTGAACAAAATATCAAAGCAACGTAAAACTTGCGCGTTTAAAAGGAAATGAGTTCAAAGCATGAACGAACAGAAATTTTAATCCAATGATGCTATAGAAATGCGTTGCGGCTTTTTCTTAAACAAACAAAAGTCATATCACATCAAGTCGACATAGCGTAGCGGATAATGCATGTGTTTGAAAATCAAAAGTTCGAAAGATCAAATCACCAAGAAGTCAAATTTTGAATGAAATTCGAAAATTACTGAGGGTTTGACTAGTTGATCACAAAAGAAGGGGTAGACCCCCCAGTACCAGGCCAAGGCGGTACTGGGGGGCGGGGTGAGGGAGAAGGTAAAATTCTTTTGGTATTGGCCTCTATTACCTCCCAAAATTTCAGCTCTCTACGGCCACGGGAACCTCAAAAAGTATATTTTTTTAAGAAATTAAATTGAATTTTTGAAAAATTTACAAAGTTTGATAAAATAAACTGAGTTAGGAATGACTTAATTGCGCGAGAGAATAGAAATATGTTAAAATATAATCTTTGTTAAAATTGTTGCAAATGTTTTTCACTTTCTCATTCAATTCCCTGTACTTCTTTCGACTGGGGGTTGCTGTTTCCTCCCATTGCTTTCATTATATTGAATTTCTGATTGGCAGCATCCAGTTTGAATTGTTCCAGAAAGGTTTGAACGGATGGGTGGTTTCCTTTAAAGAGTAGCAACGCCAAGATGCCAGCCTTCTCCAGCATTTGTTGTCCTTATTAGCCCAGCAGCTGCTTCTTCGGAATGATTCCAAAGGCTTACTGGGAAGAGAGGTTCGCGAGAATTGCTTCCGATGGTTTCGCCTTTGATCTAGGTGCGCTGAAAGTATGAGACTACCTCATCAAGTTTTTGAGTGACATTGTCGTCAAGATCAAATTTGTCCGACACGTTTTCGATTTCCTCAATGACCAAGTCAAAAGCAGCATTGACCATTTCAACTGGTACGAAACTTAGAGCAGGAATTAAGCGCAATGACAAATTGAGATCATGATTAGTTTCGTACAGTCGCTTCAGGCCCACTTCGTTTATTTTCCGGTTGAACGCTTGACAAATGAAAATAGCAGCCTTTCAGCAACGCTCCGGTATTGTGACTAGCAAAAGCGTTCAGTGCTGTACGTTCAAAATCGAGGAGAATGCGGTGAGGCTCGGTGTTTTCGGCGATGGCTGATAACCCCGTCAGTAGCTTTTTGTAAGTGTGTTCTGTTTTGTTGGGCAACAGTGCATAAATGCAGGGGGGGGGGGGGTAAAAGCCAACGAGTTGAATGTGGATGGTGTAGAGTTGATAGAACTGAATCGGGCAAACTTTGAACGCTCCATCACACAGCCAAACATCTCGATGTAATATCAAACTCTGGATATTGTCCCAATCTCCAAAAATCAACACCCTTTCTGGATCTTCAATGCCGCTATCGAAGACGCAAAAATCCTCATGTTGCTTTGGCACTTCAAAATGTCTGTCGTCAATTGGAGGCAATGTGGGTCTATCACTTACCTTCTGTCGATTGAGGGCCCGATTAACAGCCGACCGGCAAGGAAGAGCTAATTGAACTGCTTTTTCTTCGGAGACAGACTGCAGGCCGTTTGCTATAATTATGCTATTGACTGGTACTTGCTGTATTTTTGTGTCCTGTTTCATATTCTGGACCAGAAGCCTTGCATCCGAACGACCAGGAAATACTTCGTGCGTGTGCTCATTTCTACAAGAAATAAGACCGTTTTCTCGGGTTATTGCTGTCGTTTTGCATTTATGGGAACCCCATTTTGAACACTTCCAGTGAATGTTTCCATCCTTTGTTTCCTGTTTTTTCGTCAACTCGTGGCCACCGATTACAAGCGTTCGCCGATTCTGTTGGGATAAACCCCAAGAAATTTGACTCATTTTGGTAAATGTTATTCCAAAGAAAATTGATATAATGACGTAGTTTTGGTTTCATTTTTGTACGTGATTTTGAAAATTGGGGATTAAAACTTCTTAATTGAAAAAAATTTCAGATTTTGAGACTCTAATTGCGATTTAGTCTTTAGAACAATTTCCTTAAGTGAAAGACTCAAATTGAGTCAAAAAATTTAGACTCAAATGAATTAACACGTGCTGTATCTTTCCGATTCTAATTAGGACTTTGAAAGATTACATTATGGGACCTCATTATGGTATATAGGGCAGATTAGTATAGGGTAGATTGGTATGTAGGGTATAATGGCATAGATTAGAATGGTATAGGGTAGTTTGGAATAGGGTAGATTGTCCTGCCACCCTCAAGACAATACCTTTCGGCTGATAAAAAAAATTTCTGTCAAAAATGGCCAGTTAAAAAGTCGAATTGAGAAAAAAAAACCACCCGAGCACAAATATTCCGTCACTTTCCTCGAAAGTCGGAACATCTAACTGATCGTATGAAAAGAAGAAATCAAAACGCAAAAAATCAATTTTTAAGACTTTTTCATAAGAAACCAAGAAGGAAAAAAATCATTACGACCTTTATAAATTTCTTCAGTACGTTCATTGACACTTAAAAAGCAACAGAAAAATTATGTAAATTATATTTTTTTGTTTATTTTTGAGACGATTAGAAAGGACCCAATTGGAGAACCATCTGCAAAACTTCGATTCATTTGTGAAATCTGAATCACATTCAATAGGGCTTTTAAATGATACCTCATATGTCCCTAAACGGCGTGGTCCTCGGAAACAACTAGCTTCGATACATTACAGCCATGTTTCAGAAACTTCTGAAACTTTCGGAACCATTTCAGTATACACTCGGAGCCATTTTAGTATACACTCGAACTACTGGGAAAATTTACAGCAAAACATGATATGTAATACTAGCGTAAAAAAAGAGACTTCTTTTATATACATCCGTTTTAAATGACTTCGTGCCAAACTGATTTTTGTGAGGTCAAAACGACTAGAATTGTCGAATTTGTTTAAAAATGCACGCTATAAGATTTTTAAAATGCGAAGGAGAAATGGACATCTTACAGTCTGTTGTAAAACATACACAATGCCCAGTAGAAATCCCAACTAGAGAATCACTCCACATTATCAAGACCAATTAATCAAAACTTGGTATTGATTAAAACTTTACAATACCCGAAAACTGATTCTCATTGATATTACAACAGTGACAACTCATGGAACCGAATAATCATAATACGAGCCAAGTTAAACACAAGAGCAGCTATGAAGCTGTTGTTGTACCTTCTCTGTGTAGCTCTCCTTGCGCTGCGAGGCCCAGATGATTTCGGGTGCCAGGTAGTACTCCGTTCCACAGATGGTCTTCGGCTGGCTCAAATCAGCTGTACGAGAGAGTCCAAAATCAGCCAGCTTCACGCAGAACTAGATTTAATAATTAAAATCAAAAAAACTTCTTGAAAAAATGCCGTTTCTGTGCAAGGAACACGGGTGTTCCTAGCACAGTAGTCACTGCATAAAATTTCAAACACCGAGGCGAAGCTGTACATCGCAAACATAAGCGAGAAAACGGATAAAAGGGGATAAACTTCTAATTTAGCGAGTTGGGGGATAAACTTCTCTAGAATCAGACCAATCTTCTCATCAGAGATTTATCTGCTAAGCAGAAAATTAGAATGAAGTGTGCAGTCTGGGAGTAATTGATACTGAGACCACTTTTTGTTTAATAATGTTCAGAATCTAAACAAGACGATAGGGGCTTTAATATGATACCACGCTTGATCCCATACAGGCCTTTCTTGAAGCAAAATAGTATGCGAAAAAACCCGCCCAGCACCTACTCCCTTGCTCCCACTACTCTAGGACAATAAGCGGTCGGAACAATAAGCATGCCTTTTAGATTTAAAACCAAGAAAAAATGACCATATTTTTCATCTCAGAAAAAATAAGTGCATGCATCATTAAATGAGCCTAACATGTTCTGCAGTTTTTCGTAAGATAAGTTTTTCTACTTAAAAGACAATATTTTTTAGTCTCAGCGCAAAACACGAGATATTATTAAGAGCCTCGTATCTCAGTTTATATGAACATAATCGGACGAAACTGAACAAACCTCTGGAGTAGTTGAAAACACGAGAATATTCTCCAGCTTCAAATCCCTGTGAACAATTTTGTTCGAATGAAGGAAGTTGAGCGCCACTAGCACTTGTTTCATGCACACTTTAGCCTCACTCTCTGTGTATGACCACATTCTAGCTCTGAGGTAAGCTAGCATGTCTTCGCAACACAATTCCATCACAAGCATCACTTCATTTGGTCTGTCAAATACGTCCAGTAGTTTCACAATATTCGGATGGTCCAACTTTGACAATTTCTGCAGAATCTTGATCTCTCGGTCGATCAAGTTCGGTCCCTGTCGTGCTGATTCATTAGGATTCACATGCGACACTACAAGGACCAGAAAATTACTTTTTTCCTAACAGATAAACAAATGAACCCGGTTGCTGTACAAGTGACTCAGAATGTTCAGACCACAGTTATCGCAAAAAAAATCAAATTGTGTTTGAAGATTATTGAAATTGGTAAAAGTTTCATTTTGCCTTTCAAATAGTCAATTATTTTCAACAATAGAAAGCTAAAAAAATAGTAAGAGGATAGCCGGTTGCTGTGCAATAGCACAGAATGTTCCAAGGATCATTTAAAAAATTTACAAAACAGTTTTTCTTTTTTCTTTTTCAAATTAGTATTGTTTTTAGTGCGTGGTATGATTAGGGGCTATAAAAAAAGCGTAGAAAGTTAGTGAACTAGGCATAAACAATTGCATTTCAAAAAAGAATGACATAATTTTTTAAATAGTCTTTAGCGCCGAAGAAGCGTTTTCATAAAGCGCCGAGGAAGCGCTATATGAAACTTCCAAAACAAGTTTTTTTTTTTAGTAAAATCAAGTTTTCGCAGCCTGAAAGCCTAGATAAGACTTAAACTTTCATATAACGAATACTATTTGATCGCTTTACTGGCTCGAAATTAGATCAATTCAAAAGTTTTAAACAAGTTTTTCTCAAAACAAGAACACTTTATGATTGACCTTTCCTTTGATGAAACTAACCCAATTTCACAAAACTGGATTAATTATAAGTATACATTTTTTATTCCGCTGGGAAAACTGAAAAATATATAATCCACTTTTGAAACTATAACTAGGTCCCGTTTTTAGAGACATTAAACCTTCTGTTCGATAGCGAAATTACGCTTCGTTGCAATAAAGAAAATGAAGTGAGTTTAAAAAAAGTCAAAACGCGAAAAATCAAATTTTCGGCGTGAACAAATTTCGAGAATTTTCTTTTAAAAAACAAATGAAAAAAAAACAACAACCAAGAACTATAAAAGAGCTGCATTCATTACTCTTAAAAACTGAAGAAAAAGCTGCGTTCATTACTCTTAAAAACTGAAAAAAATGCTAAAACACACCCGAATACAAAGCTCCTTCCCATTTTTAATGGTCGGAACGAAAAGAAAAGCTTTTAGTAAAAATTGCTTCAACGTCAAGTTGGGAGTAAGAATCGGTCTGAAAATCAGTTGTAACTTGGTCTGAAACGCGAAAAAAAAACATAATACTTTTTCTCGTCACTGAGCTCACGTTTTCGAAAAATCAGATTCACCACTGACAGGAGTTCTAAATGAAACCACATATTATCCCTAATAGCTTTCCTTTAGGTGTTTAAACTGACTTGGAGAAAACCCATCCTACGCCATAGTGCCTTCCACTCTACGAGAATAGTCGAGACAATAATGAACGGAGGACAATAATAAGTGACACCAGTATTATAAATAAAAACAAATATCAAATTTAAGTAGTTAAAATAGGAGCCAAAAACCAACAAAGCCAAACCCCACTTACATAGTCGAATCACAAAACGTTTACCTTTTTCCACTTAAACAAAGCCAACATCCATTAGAAACGTTGCACTAAGATTGAGAGCTATTTTATTCTGATTCAGAAAAAGTACACTTACAATCTAGTTTTTTGATGATCTTCATAGCTAGTGGATACCCGTCAGATGATCTGAAGCACCTGTACACAATTCCAAGAGCACCACTGCCCAGGTGAGGTCCCCGAACATACAGATTAGACACCACGTCATCTTTCAACACATTTTTCTGGTTTATGAAGCAGTATGTTTTGTTCTCCTCCTTGCCCAATGCAATTTCTGTGCAATTCTCTAGCGTCTAAAATAGTTGAAAGCAAAAATGAAAAAGCAAAAATGAAAGCAGTCAATTTGTATGCAACCTCAGCAATATAGTTCCCATCAGAAACGTATAAAAGCTCGCATATTTCCCATATTAACGTTTTGATTTTCAAAATTTGATAGAAGGTTTGGATAAGTTGAGCAATCTCCCCCCTCCCCCATTCCCACTTGAGGGGAGAAAGCTCAATGGGTACTTGAGACATGTTTACAACCACTTGAAAGTAGTTCTAACCACTTGAAACTAGACTGATGATCTTTTTGAGAATGGGTTTGCTACCTCTTTTTTCAAACAATGAATGTCTCTGCACTGCTTGCCAGACTCCCCAAAACTGGACAAAATATCAGAAAACCAAGGATGGACAACATCAATTCGAAAAAACAGTTTTTTTTGAAAACTCGAACATTGACCTCCCAATATGGATTCAAATTATTTATCTTTGGGGAATGCGAGGGGCAAACAAAAATGCCGCAACTCACAGAGCAATTCACGACGCTTTTGCCTCCCTTCGACAAATTTGCCAGCGGCATCTTCTCGCCAACCCAGTTGAGCTCGGCAAACCAGGAATTGTGCTAGAAATTGTGCTTGGATGCAGATCTCAGAGGTCGCATTCAACAGTAACTTATATGCTTTTTTGGAATTGTGGATACCAGCTATAAACCGGCAATTAGTTATATGGAAATTTTGGAACGAAGAAACGCTGCAACACTCATTCCGATTATCCAGAGCGTAGCTTGTCCTGGATCAATCATACATTCCGATAGGTGGCGAGCTTATCGAGGAATTCAGGCATGGGGTTCGCCTGAAGCAATTAGTTATATGGAAATTTTGGAACAAAGAAACGCTGCAACACTCATATCCAGAGCGTAGCTTGTCCTGGATCAATCATACATTCCGATAGGTGGCGAGCTTATCGAGGAATTCAGGCATGGGGTTCGCCTGAAGCAATTAGTTATATGGAAATTTTGGAACGAAGAAACGCTGCAACACTCATATCCAGAGCGTAGCTTGTCCTGGATCAATCATACATTCCGATAGGTGGCGAGCTTATCGAGGAATTCAGGCATGGGGTTCGCCTGAAGCAATTAGTTATATGAAAATTTTGGAACGAAGAAACGCTGCAACACTCATTCCGATTATCCAGAGCGTAGCTTGTCCTGGATCAATCATACATTCCGATAGGTGGCGAGCTTATCGAGGAATTCAGGCATGGGGTTCGCCCATAAAACAATGAATTTTGTGGAACCCGATGGGACACACACGAACAGTGGAACCCTAATGGAGCCGAAAAAAGACCCTTATCAAAAGCATGCTTGGATGCAGATGAGTTTTCCTGCATTATTATTTGCAAGAGTTTATCTGGAGAGATCGATATGGCTCGAGAGAACTTGAAAACATTATCTTGCATATGAACATTTTTTCATTTTCTTTAAAGCTAAACTGACCAATGAGTATTATTTCATTGTTTAAGGTTTGAATTTAGCTTTAGCTTGTTATAATTTACTTTATTTCGCCTGGAGGAAAAACTCAATTGGTCATTACGAGTTGAGAGATTGCTCAATTGATCCGAAGGTTTGATTGACTCGCTCGTAAATGAATGCACAGACAGGTAATTATTATTTATACTTAATTATGCTGATTTGCCCTACTCGATTCGTTCAAAAGTTTCAGACACGTTTTTTTAATTATTAGTCCCCGGTCCTGCTCAGTGCAGGACCAACTGTGGGGGAGGGAGATGTCATCTATTTCGCCACAGCCATTCCCATCTTGAGGATGCGGATAACATTGGGACCCCTCCAACCGTGACCAAAGTAGGATCCGAACGCATGACCCTCGTCTTGAGAGACGTGTGCCTAACCATCTCGGTCACGGCTGCTCGATTCAGAATTACATCTCGGTTGCTCAAACGATAGGGAAAAGACTGTAAAGAAAGCATTTCAGGAACTCAAAAAAAAACAACCGCGGAAATGTAAACGTGCGTGAGCAAAATCACAAAAATAAATTGGTTTTCAAGAAGGGAACAACTTGTTCATTTACAAATGTATCCGTAAAAAATCCCATCTTTGCAAAACATTATGAAGAATTAAATTTGGTTCCAAAAGCCAGACGACCTATATTAGTGAAAACTGTTCACTTGATTTTTCATTCTATATATATATCAACAAGACGGCCGGCTCGTATCAGGGCGAAACCCTATATGTCCCGACTGCCTTTTTTCAGGTCAAAATTGCCTTTTTTGCTTAAAAAAATGATGGAAGTTCAAAAAGTTTTTTTTGAATTTCTGAAAACCATACATCACACGCTATTTGAAGTATTAAGTGGTATTTAATAGCACGATGTAAAGCGAGTGTTAATTGACCCCCGAAACTTTACGAAAAATAATCACAGATGAAAAATCTTTTTAAATTTGAGCTCAGAACAATACCATTTGGCGGATATGAAACCTGGATAAAAAACACGCCGAACACAAATAATCCGTCACTTTCTTCGAAAGCCTGAACAAAAAATATAACTCACTGATCGGCTCCCTCTCTGCATTCTTTTGCCGTTCAGGAAAACTCCATTTCGGCTACAATCTGCAAAAACAGAAGCAATTCAACATCAATATCAACTAGCTTATCATATAACCTAATCAAATTCGGTTTAAAAACCTGAATTTTGTCAACCAAACAAATTACTTGGAGCAGCCGTTTGGATATGGTAACCATCTCTTAATATGTAAACTAATATAATAATTTGAATAATAAAAATATATAATACATAAGTTATACCTTGGATAATGAAGTCCTGGGGAATGAAAGGATTCTTTTCGACCACGCAATGCTTCTCTGATATGTACAATAAATGGCTTTGAGGAAACGGCTGAACTTTTTCTCGATGAAAAGCTGCTCTTCCTATTGTAACTTTTTGGTCCGAAAAAGAGGTGAGCTCAATTTTTTTCAGAGTGGGCATTATTGGATAAAGAGTTGCTCTGAAACTTTCCTGTTGTTCTCCTTCATCTTCGTTAGACTCATTCGTCTACAGGCAAAAAAACGAAAAAATTATATAAAGTCAAAGAAATTATCCGAAGTCAAAGAAAATATTCAAAAGCCACAATTTTGTTGTGCAGTAATAAAAGGTACTATCCGATTTCAGTCGTTACTCGATCAGTTTGGATTTAATTGACTGCCTCAAATATTTTTTTGAACCAAATCAAGCTAACAACTCCTTCTCATATTCAACTGCCTTTTTTGCACGAATAATTGCTAAATTGTAAGAATAGCAAGATATAATTCGATAAGAGTTAATTATTTCAATGAAAAAACAAAAAGTGACTAAGCCTAAGTTACATCACCTCGAAGCTCTTCTCATTTCAAAACTTTTGATGGAACTTTTTCATAGAGCTAACCCAAATTGAGATAAATGGATCAATACCTATTTTTCTTATTTCGCTGGGAAATTTTAAGATTTATCTATTTTCAAAATTGAAGTCAATCACGTGTTTCCGCTTACCACCAGCTAGATATGTCATAGACTCTGTCTTATTATGATTATTATTATATATTCACGCTATTTTCCAGCTTCCCGCACAGAGGCGAAGCGTAACATCCCACCACTTTTGATACAATCAAACTTAAAACACAGAGACGAAGCCGAGCTTCGCACCATTTGCGATACAACACAAGAAAAAATATGCGATACCACTTGCGCTACAACACAAGATACTTATCATAATGAATACAACTATTTTTGAAGCAAAAATATACCGAGAAAATCCAATGTGAAATAAGCATCGATAAATTACCAAGCAGTAACAAAGCCGAAAATACCTTTTAGGAAACCTTTTAAGCCAAAACAAATCAACAAGACTAATACTTCTGAAATGTTAAAAAGTCCCCCTCGACGACAAAACACTGGGAAAAACTATTTTCTCGTCAAATGAAACAATATGAGACAACTAAGCCGCTATAATATAGCCCGAAACATATAAAGCACAAAAAAGGGAAATAAAAAAGCCAAAAAAATCAAAAAAATTAAGACTAATCAAAAGTTATCAAGCCCTTCGCCCTCAAAACACAAACGCGCATACACAAACTTTTTTCGCTGATCGAAAGACGAATATGAGGCCGATTAGCCGATATAATACAGGCCTTAACCTACTAAGCCAAAAAAAGGAAAAACAAACAAAGCCGAAAAATGGTTGTCAAGAACTGTAATTTCTATTTAGACTAGCGTGTACCGCACCTCCGGTGCTTCGAATTTTCTCAAAAAAACTATTCTTTGAGTGTACTCTGGCAGCACCCATTTACAGGGTCCGTAATTAAAAATTTTGCAAAGTTTTTTATTCAAATTCAAGTTTTTTATACAAATTTTAAGAACCATAAAATTTTGTGAAGTTTTATTTAAGTTCTTCGAAAAATTTAAAATGAATTCAGAAACGTCACGTCTGGGAGACAGGAAGCAATTGAGAAGTCGCATTTGGACGCAAGATTTGCAACTCCTGAGAGTAGTCTTACAGTACCCAGCTACAACGTTGGGAAATTCGAATTTTGAGAAAGTTCACCTTAAGTATTCTAAAAGAGGTATTCGCAATCTTTGAAAGTACACAACTACAGGGCTGGGAATTTCACTTAATCGAATTATTTTGTAATTTGAGTTTTCTGAAAACTTCCAAAAAAATCACAAAAATCGCCGTATCTCTGAAACAAAAATCTCGGGAGGCCGAATTTGCAACCCCTGAGACTACTCTGACAGCCCCGCAACTACAGGTTAGTAATTTCAAGCTTTAAAAGATTATTAATTCAATTTTCATGAAAAAAATTTTTGAAAAAATTACAAAAAACTTCATATCTCGAAAAATACAAGGATTTGAGCAGTCATATTTGGCGGTGAAATTCGCAACTCCTGAGAAAAACCCCGACAGAGCCTCACTACAGAGATGGTAACTTCAAATTTTGTGAAAGCCAAAAAAACCGTCATATCCCGAAAAATACAAGGCGTTGAGCAGCCATAATCAGAGGCAAGATTCGCAACCCCTGAGAGTACCCTCACAATATCCAACAACAGGATTGAGATCTTCAACGTTCGGGAATTGTTTAAAATCAAAGTTCGCATCTCGAAAACTATAAGGATTTGAGAAGTGAGAATTGGAGGCAAGATTCGCAACTCCTGAGAGTACCCTGACAGCACAACTACAGGGTGAGAATTTCAAAAATTGAGAATATTTTTCTAGAAATTTTTGAAAAATCCCGAAAATTGCCTAACTCGTAAACTAAAAAAATTTGGTTATTCATATATGGAGTCCGGAATCGCAAAACCTGGGAAAACACTGACAATATCTCACTATTGCGTTGCTAGTTTCAAATTTGATGAAAAAAACACTAAATTCAAACTGGAAAATCGAAAAAACCTTATCCATTGCAATATACAATAAATCTTAAACGTGAAAAAATTCTTTTTTTAAACATGCAAAAACATTACGTTGAAAAAGCTTAAACATGGCGAGATAGTGAAGCCCGCATTTAAATATAAAATAGATAGATTATAGATGAAAGTTAAAAAATTAGGCGACGTGTAGACAGACATAATCAAATTAATTCAAAAAGCAGGTATATAGATAGATAGATAGATTTTCAGCATTTTGTGCGATCCAGAGGTGAGCATTAAAAAAATGATTCTGTTGAAATAACTCAAAATTAGGTCACTGAGCCGATAAATAAAAGGCCGAACTCATTTATTTAACACGATAAACTTGAATTAATAGTCAAGTCAAGTCAAGTTTTTATGACCATTAGGCAGTGCCTCTTGTGGTCATTTCAAATGTTTTTTTCCTATCTCCGTTCGAATTCGTACATGTCAATTCCAATCGCTTTCCAATGTTTGTCCAGTTTCCACTTGAATTCGTCGATGGTCTTGCTTTGCACTGTTTCCTGTGGCAGATTGTTCCAGTAGAGGGTGCTCTTATCGTTTTTTCGCATTTCTAGATTTGCTTTACATGCGTTACCTCTAGAATCCCTATCATTCCGCTCGAATAGTCCCGCAGTGGCATTCCTATCATACAAACCATAGCAGATTTTATACATTTCTATCATTGTCCCTCTTTTCCTTCTGTATTCCAGCGATGATAGATTCAGTTCTTTAAGGCGTTCGTAATAGGATAGATTTTTCATACCACTAACTAGACGCGTCGCTCTTCTTTGTACGTTTTCCAAGATCTTTTGATGCTTGATCAGTCTTGGGTGCCAGATTAAGTTCGCAAATTCAAGGTGTGGCAGAATAAAGTTTTTGAGCGACGAAAAAACTTTAAAAAAAAAGAAATATATACGATGTCAAAGTTGAAAAAAATTACAAACAAACAACAGTAATCAAAACACTAAAAGCAACAACAATGTTTGAAAAAAAACTTAAATTTAAATGAGCAATTTAGTAGGATGGTTAGAACCGGAAATTAAGCCCGATGGTAAAAACCGGAAACTAAAAGCGGCTAAGCAGACCTAAAATAAACCAGGAGAGCGGTCTGTATTTAGACAACTGCGTATTCAGACACTGTATTAACCAATCAGAATCGAGACAAGGAAGAAATGAATTTCATATCTTCCTCGTCTCGGTTCTGATTGGTTAATACAGTGTCTGAATACACGGTTGTCATAATACTGCTACGTAACCAATAAACCGAAATCGACGAAGTACCGAAGAAATATCATTTGAAAAGTTTGAACCGCGAATTTACTGGAAAAATGCTATAAGGGATGCATAGAGGGAGTAACAAAATAGGCAGATACTGCATGCATGTGTACTGCATGCATGCTGAAATCTGTGGACAATGTAGTTAACGGAAAGCAATCTAGTACCCGATTGCAATATCCTTGCTTATTGTAAGGGTAACTACGAAAAGGCACCACATCATTGAAAAATAAATACTTTTGCTTAATTTTATTTGAAAAGAGACTGCTGCAGTTCCAACTTATAGTGCCATTTGAACAGCAATCGGTTTTTCATTTTTTGTATTTTCGCAGCGCAAACTCAATCCGTTCGTTTTGTGCTATTAAAAAACTTTCAATAACACATTTAGCCTTAGACTAGCCTTTATATAGCGAGTTCAAAGACTCTTTGGAATAAGACACAGGAGTCAATTTAAAAAAATCTTTAATAAAATAACTTGATAAGTAGACGGCAATTCTTGGCTAAGAACTTTCTTTTGCGATGAATCATCGTCCTCTACATTGCAATTTTCGTCCAGTTTGCGCTTGTGTTGAATATTTTCCATCTGAAAACAGAATCGGATTATTCAATTTTAAAAGATACCGCATGCCATTCCTTTAAACTAGAGCTACTATTAGATCTATCAACATGAATGGCCTAACAATAGAACGCAAAATTAACATCGGAACAAAATTAATCAAGCGGTAACTACGCCGAAAATACTTGAGCAAACACTCTTTACGCCGATTTTTTTTCGTTCAATATTTAGTTAAAACTTTATGCCCCTTTCCCTCATAACACACACAGGCACACAAAAACTTTGTTCGCGCATCCAACGACGCAAAAAATCTACTTTTATATCGGCTTAATAGCCTCTTTTCGCGTCATTTGATGCGCGAAAAAAGTTTTTGGGTGCATGTGTGTGCTATGAGGGATAGGGGGCCTGAAAACCTTAAAACTGCTTTGAAACCTATTCAGCCGTCAGACAAAAAAATGAGATTTCAACAAATCGCGTTAAAAATGCAACCAACTTAAAAACTGCTGTTTCCTTGAAACGGCCCAAAAATGAGTCATTAAGCCGATAAAAACTGGTCAAAATAATTTGGGTCAAATAAAATTTTTGAAGCAAACAAAATTTTAGCGACAATCTTTTTCAGAGCATGAGTGGGTGAGGGCGACGAAAAGGTAAAACCGTCTCTTAAAGGTAAACACATGTAGCTGTCATTACAAAATAGCTCTAATTACGATTTGAGAATGCTTCATAATTGAAAAGTCAAACAAACGTTTTCGCACAATTTTGTGCATCTTCAGGTTTTAAGGTTTGACTCTTCGTCTGATTAAAAATTGAAACATAAAATAATGCCTATACCAATGTTTCTCGATTGGAAACTGATATGCCACTTTTGCAAAATTAAAAACCAACTGTTACCTGCCAACTCAAAAATTCAAAACGAAAACTACCATATCGACACAAATATGAGAAATAAAACGTTATACTTCTTAGAAAACGTTACACTCCTTGGAGTAATAGGTGAAACCAGCTATAACTTTTTGAAAGAACTCTCCCGCCGCATTGATGCAAAAACTCAAGAAAAACGCATTAAGATTAGAGAAAACAAAGTTAACTCGGGGTACTCTAACATAAAAAGAAGCGAAGATCAAATTTAAATATTACTTTCACTTTGTTTTTAAAGGAAGATCGATCAGTGGCAACCTATGGTAAACTATCATGGACAAATTTTAAGTTCGTTTAGGGAAAAATATGTGCCATGTTTTTGATCTTAAATATACATGTTGAAATTATACCTTGTTATTAATGTCAGCTTATTTTCACTCAATTTTCAATAATATTCAAAACGAAAACTACCATATCGACACAAATATGAGAAATAAAACGTTATACTTCTTAGAAAACGTTACACTCCTTGGAGTAATAGGTGAAACCAGCTATAACTTTTTGAAAGAACTCTCCCGCAGAGCCAAAGTTTGCCTCTTTCTTCTCGACAGTGTTTCTGGTTTTAGCTTTCAACCGTGTGCAGAACGGTCACAGCCCTGTTGGATCTACACACATGCTGCTGCTGGCTCGCGAGAAACCTGATCCACAATCACGACAAGAACTGCGGTCACGCAAGTTTAAACTCAACTCAAAGTTGTCGTTTTATAACATTTCTATGCTCCTTCTTTTAAGCGCTGGTGATATTGAAAGTAATCCTGGTCCGTCTGTCGACCCTACTCAGTTGTCCAGATTTGTTAACGCCGCGGAGATCTTAGTCGGGTCGTCTGTTGCCATCTAGGACCTAACCTCCGGTATCTATGATGCTTCTATCCTCAAAGTTGACAACAATCGCTTCTTTGCTCACTTTCGTGGTTGGAATAAAAGCTCTGACTCCTGGGTCAACCTTGATCAAATTTTCCGGCTCCCTGATGGTTATGTTCCGATAGGCCGGAATTCTCGCGGTCCTATTTGCCTTCTCGCGTCTCCTGTCTCCAGTCCTATCTCTGTCGCTTTAACGAGTTCTCCTTCTCGGGACGCTCCTGTTAGCTCTGGCCTCTCTCAAGCGATGTCAAGTATGACGATCTCGGCTGAGCTCGCCGAAAGTGCTGTGCCGGATCTTTCTGACGTCATGTCTTCCAGAGTTGACACTGTCCGGTTCGTTCCGATTTCTCTTCGTAACGAGTGGTCTGAGGTTGTTGGTCACGCCCTTGACAACTGCGCCACCGCTCCGGACAATCTGAAAAACTGGACTCGGTTGCTCATGCTCCCCAAATGTATCTTGAAAGCCCCTCGCCGCGGAGGCAAGTCTCACGCCGCTAATAACTGCAGAGACATTCGCCAAAGATTCAAGTCCTGGAAGGAGGGCAATATTTCGGACCTCTGGTCTAACGCTACCAAAAGACCTAAAGAGCGAACGATGAAAACCAGCAAACCTTCTCCTGACTTTAATGTCCGCAGAGCCAAAGAGCTAGCAGGCCTCGGTCAGTTCGGAAGAGCAGCTAAAGCCCTGTGTTCTGATGGCCTCGTGTCCAAAAGTGACGAGTCGCTTAAGGACCTTCGCAGTCTTCATCCTTCCGCTGACCCTCCTGTCTTTTCTGGCCGGGATGAATCCCCTCTTGCCTACCAATTCGAATCTGAGTTCGTTCATAAGTCTCTCAAAAGTTTCCCGAGCGGCACTGCTGCCGGTCCTTCGCGCTGGTTTCCTGAGCACTTTGTTTACGCCGTTGAGTGCCCCACTCCTCAGACTGCTGCCAGAACGTTAGAGTCTCTCAACAGAGTTGTTAACATCCTCGCTACCGGGCAAGCCCCTTCTAGTCTCTCTCCGTGGCTGTGCAGTGCGAATCTCTTTGCCACCGCTAAACCCAAGGGTGGTGTCCGGCCTATTGCGGTCGGCGAAGTGCTCCGAAGGCTCACTGCTAAATGCCTTGCTAAAGCCGCCAACGCTGAAGCTCGTGATTTCCTGTGTCCTCACCAGCTTGGAGTCGCTACCAGCGGTGGCTCGGAAGCCATCGTCCACGCTACTAAAATGACAGTCAAAAAGTGCTCGGAACATGGTCACCAAGGCGTCTTAACAGTGGATTTTGAGAATGCTTTCAACACGCTAGACCGCACCGAGATCCTCCTTCAAGTTCGCAACCGTCTTCCCGGTCTCTCCGCCTTTGTTGAGTTTACCTACGGTCACCACAGTCGTCTGCTGTTCGAGGATGTCATTCTCAACAGCGAGAAAGGAGTTCAACAGGGGGATCCGCTAGGGCCTCTCATTTTTGCGGTCACCCTGCACTCTCTTGTCGAATCTCTCAAAAGGAAGTCCCCGGTCTCACCCTCAACTGCTGGTACCTTGATGATGGTATTTGTGCCGGCGACGAAGACTCCTTGCTCAAGGCTCTCGAATTCATCACTTCCAACGGCTTGCATCTCGGCCTCAAAGTCAAGCACAATAAGTGTGAGTTGTGGGCCCCTGTGGAGTTCTCGTCCATCCCCGTTTCTATCCCAAGAGCAGCGTCTAATGGCTTCGAGCTTCTTGGCGCCCCCATTGGTGATACTGAGTTCTCAGTTAAAGTCCTGTACAAACGCATCTCAAAAGCCACCAAATGTCTTGAAAAGTTACCTCTTCTTGATGACCCCCAGCTCTCACTTGGCATCACTCGCACTTGCCTTGCTGCTCCCAAGCTGACGTACTCTCTTCGCACTCAGCCGCCCTCTCAGCCTGTCGCAGCTTCCCTGCAAGTTTTTGATGAACTCCTCCGCGATGCTCTTTCTGTCATAGTTGGCTCACCAGTTCCTGATCTTGCCTGGTCCCAGTCTTCCCTGCCTATCAAAGATGGCGGACGTGGCGTCCGGCAAGCTCGCGACCAACACATCCCTGCCTTCCTAGGGTCTTCGTGTCAGTCAGCTCATTTGGTCTCGTTTCTTACCGAATGCGACATCACTGATACGCCGGAGTTCCTGCGTGCCTCTAACGACTTCCGTGAACAGTCTGGATGCGTTAACACTCCCAGTTTTAATCAAGAAGCTTACCAAGAGAAACTCGATAAGGCCACCTACAACGCTTTCTTCTCGTCTCTTCCCGCGAGCAAGCTCGTCTTCAGTCGCTCTCTCTGCCTTACGCCGGCGCTTGGCTTACCGCAGTCCCCATTAAAGGTCTTGGCCTGCACCTGCTTCCTGCTGAGTTCCAAGCTGCTGTCAGATACCGCCTTGGTCTTCCCGTGTTCGCGTCTGCTCGTAGGTGCCCCGCGTGTCCGTCTGGCATTCTGGACGTCCTCGGGGACCACGCTGTCGCTTGTGGGGGGAGTGGTGGCCGGATCTCCCGTCACGACAGACTACGGGAAATTATTTTCAATGCTACCACGGCTGCCTCCTTAGCCCCCATCAAGGAGCAACGGAACCTCATCCCTGGAGAACGGTCCAAACCCGGCGATATTTTTGTCCCTACTTGGAGCGCTGGTCGCCCAGCTGCTTTCGACGTCACCGTGACATCCCCGCTGCAGTTATCTCTTCTCTCTCGTGCGGCGGAGACCCCCGGGGCGTCCCTGGAAGTTGCTGAGGACCGCAAGTTTTCGAAACACGAGAAAAACTGCGAGGAACAAGGAATCAGTTTTTTCCCGTTAGCAGTCGAAACGCTCGGGGGTTGGTCCGCTTTAGCTATCAAAACCCTCAAGTCAGTTGCTATCCTCGCTGATGCCAGACGTTTTGGTTCACGTGACGCTCGTGTTGCCCCAGTTCGCCTTCTCCAGAGCCTCTCAGTGTGCCTCATGAGAGGAAACGCCACTATGATTGTCAGTCGGGCCATCTAGTCTTGTGCAGTTTATTACTTTTTTGCCTTCCCAATTCTGGTGCTCCTTTGTTCCTTTGCTGTTAGTGCATTCCCCCTCTCTTTTCAATTCTCAATGGTTCATCCCACATTTGTTGTTTGTTTTGTATTCGGTGTTTGTTGTGTACTCGGTAATTATACTACAAAATAATTTTGAAATTTTTTATAATATTTGACAAGCACTAGCACATTTGAATTTAATTTCATTTGGCAATTCAAGTGTTAAATTTTTTGGCTCTTTTTCCTTTTCCCCCCACCT